GGCTCGCGAGTGCTCGGCGACGCAGAGACCCTCGAGCAGTGCGGCGTGGAGGCGGGGGCCCGGCTCGCGGCGGTGCCCGGCGCTCAGCCGCGCCCTGCTCGTCGGGTGCTGCGCGTGCCAAAGGGGGGGGTGGAGGAAGGTGTGGTGGGCCGATTTTCCACCACCACCGCACCATAGGTAGGAGAGGGGGGAATGAGGAGGAGGAGGAGGAGGAGGAGGAGGAGGACCTCCCCATCCTCCCCTCTCCCTCGTCCCACCCTTGGCAGCGGTGACAGGAAGAGGGGCCCATCAAGGTGCATAGCTTGTGCCCAAAAGGGGGCCCCAAAGAGGCCCTCTTCGGGCGGGGCTGGGGCGAGGACAAACCTGTTCCGGCGCGTTCTCGGACGCTTTCTGAAAGCGTTCTGGAACGCTCCGAGCAGGCCGGCGCGCCCTAGACATCCTCTTGAGCCGCAGGACCGCAGAGATTCTCGATTTGCCTTTCCCGCTTTTATCCTCGCCCTGGTGTCGTCTCCGAAGGTCCACCCTTTGTGCCCCAGAGGGGTCCCAGAGGGGCCCTCATGGGGCCCAGGAGGGGACGACAGGCCCACGTCGCTTCGCCCCCCCGTTGAGTAGCGCCCAAGCCAGGGCGGGAGGCTCCCTGCTCGGGTGGCCCCTGGCTGGCCGCGGCCGTCGCGATGGCCGACCGCGCGGCCGCCGATCGGCCCATGCACGCCGAGTGGCCCCGCCTGGCCGCGCGGCGCGCCCGGCCACGCGACTGGGCCCAGATCAGGAGGAAAAAACACACACACAGACACAATTGATCGTCGATTCCCAAGGAAATTTGGGAAAATATGGGAAGTGGGGGGAAGACACCAGAAAATATAGGAAAATATGTGGACTCCTGTTACTGGTGTGTATTCATTTGTGTGTCCCAGGGCCCCCCCTTCACCAGAGGCAGGCGTGGCTCTACTCGCCTTCCCCTGGGCGATGCCAAGCAGTCGTGGCGGCCAGTTTTTCGCCAGCCTCGGCCACTGCAGGCTTCCTGTTCGCCAGCACAGGGACGTCCAGCTCTTGCTCGCCTTGCTTGGCGGCACCGTGAAGCCGCGACGCCGGTTGGTCGTCGCCTCTTGCCTTTGGAGGGCGCTCCCCGGCCACGGGAGAGTCAGAACTGCACAGAAAGAATTGTGACGAAGACGTGCAGCAGGTCCCGCCTGTGTTGCGCAGGTGTGGCTGTCGGTTTCGCCGCGGACGCTGCCCGGTTGAGGCAGAGGGTCTCTTGCCTGGCAGCGGCCGCTGTCGGTGTTTGAAACGCTTTGCAGCTGGGCATCTTGTTGCCAGCGTCTCTTCCGTGGTTGACATGTGGTTCTTCGCCCCCGGATCGACATGTCCTCCTCTCCCTATACTTGTGCAGGCCGGGGGGGCGGGAAAACCCGGCCCCCCCGCCTACCTCCAGACCTGGACCCCCAGGATCCGTGGGCCTCGGGGCCCCCTGGAGGCCCCCCCGGCTTCCCAAAGCTCCTGGACGTCCCTGCCGCAACGCGCCCAAATCGGTCAGGAGGGCGGCCGAGCGGCCCCGGAGTGCACCAAGAGGCCCCAGACACCCACCAGACGCACGAAGACGACCCAAAGAAGACCCCCAGGAGGGTTTCGAAACGCAGAACAAAACTATATGTTCAAAGGTTTCTGCATGATATGGGGAATTCCCTGTTCTTCGGTCTTCCGGGCGTCCGAGACCGCCCAGGAAGCCCCAGAATCGCCCCAAAACTATCCGAAAGGGCTTCAGGCGGTCCAAGAGAGCCCCAGGACGGCACAACAGGGTTCCAAGATGTCCCGAAGAGAGCCCCATGACGGCCCAAGATGGCCCACATGTGCCCCCCGACGCATTCCAGATCGTGACCTGGTCGTTCAGGGAGACCGCGGTGGGAAGCAGGGTGGCCTGAGGAAGCCCCCAGAGGCGCCCAGAAGGCGCCCAGGAGGCCTCCAAACGGCCCCCAGGAGCCCTTCAAAATTGCCGTGAGGCCCCCAAGAGGCTGTCCAGGGAGGAGCCTCCGCAAAAAGAGCTGAGGAGGATGGGGAATGATTCGCAGGGTAGGGCGAAATTGAGGAACAGGAAGAGGAAACATGAGGGAAGGATGATGACACACATTATTAGAATGGCGATGCCGGACGAAACAACAAGGAGTTATCGCTATATTGTCTGTTTCACATCCCTGCCCGTTCGCTTGCATGCCAAACTTCAAGGAACAAAGTCGATTTGCGAAGCGCCAACGCAATATATACCTATACGACCACCCTGCGGGTGATAAGGAGGTTGGGGGGGAGAGGGGGCCAACAATGGGCAACAGTGGTGATTGTTGTTCTGACGATGCCTGCGGGGCGGAGTCCAGCGAGGAGTGTGATTGTGATCGCGAGTGTGATGTGATGTGTCGATGTTGGCGAAGCGCACTCGACATGATCGGTCTCGCGCGCCTTGCAGTCCGTGCGCACATCGGCAACGCTCCGATATAGCTTCGTCCATGGTTTCCGAATAGCCAACCCTATGGAAGCAGCGTATTTCATGAGCTCTGGCTTCGGCATCTTGTCAACGGGAGCCATGAGCCCGCGCACGCGCCGCTGCCACTGGAGGGCGGGTTCTTGAGAGGCGAGCGCCCGACTGGTGCCCCGCAGGGCACCTCGAGCCGCGAGCGGCGACGACGGCGACGGCAGAGACCACCTGGAAGCGACGGCAGCGACGGCGACGGCCGCGACGGCGACGACTGCGACGGCGGCGGCGGGGGAACCCTCGTGAGGCTGGCGACCGGCGGCCGACGATCGACGACCGATGATGACGACACGAAAACAGCGCCGACGACGACGACGACCATCATCACCATCATCACCATCATCACCATCATCATATCGCAATCGATCTGACTATCGATATCACAATCGATATCACTATCGATCTCACAATCGATCTCACATTCGGTCTCACTATCGATATCACGATCGAAATCACGATGGATATCACAATCGAACTCACATTCGTTCTCTATATCGATCTCACGATCGATACCACTATCGATCTTATTCGATCGATTTCACATTCGATCTTTCAATCGATCTCACATTCGGTCTTACTGTCGATATCAATATCGATATCACACTGGATCTCACAATCGATCTCACGATCGATCTCACAAACGATCTGACAATCGATCTCACAATCGATCTCACTATCGATCTCCCAATCGATCTCACATTCAATATCACTACTGATATCACTATCGATCTCACTATCGATCTCCCAATCGATCTCACATTCAATATCACTACTGATATCACTATCGATATCACAATGGATCTCACAATCGATCTCACAATCGGTCTCACAATGAACAGCATCACCAACATCAACATCACCAACCACAACATCAACATCATCATCATCATCATCAACATCACCGTCATCATCATCATCATCATCACCATCATCTCCATCGATCTCACATTCGGTCTGACGATCGATCTCACGATCGATCTCATTATCGATCTCATTCGATCGATCTCACAATTGATCTCACAATCGATCTTTCAATCGATCGCACATTCGGTCTCACTATCGATATCAATATCGATATCACAATGGATCCCACAATCGATCTCACGATCGATCTCACAATCGATTGACGATGGATCTCAAAATCGATCTCATTATCGATCTCCCAATCGATCTCACATTAAATCTCATTATCGATATCACTACCGATATCACAATCGATCTCACATTAAATCTCATTATCGATATCACTACCGATATCACAATTGATCTCACAATCGATCTCACAATCGATCTCACAATGAACATCATCATCAACATCAACATCACCAACCACAGCATCAACATCAGCATCAACATCACCGTCACCATCATCATCATATCACAATGGATCTGACAATCGATCTCACAGTCGGTCTCACACTTAACATCATCATCAACATCAACATCACCAACCACAACATCAACATAATCATCATCATCAACATCACCGTCATAATCACCATCATCATCATCACCATCATCTCCATCATCACCATCATCATCATCATCATCATCATCATCATCATCATCGGGACACCGGCGGGACACCGCGGGCCACCGGACGCCCGGGGCACAATCATTTGGTCCGGCCGCGCGTCAGCCACAGGAGACTTTCCTGACACCGGCGGGACACCGCGGGCCACCGGACGCCCGGGGCACAACCATTTGGTCCGGCCGCGCTTCAGCCACAGGAGACTTTCCTCTCGCCCGCCCACGCAGCTTCGCCTCGCCCGCACGCACGGCACGCACGAACACGAAACCGAAATCGATTTCACGGTAGGGGGGCTCTCCGTTCCTTTTCGATCTCCCCCCCAACCTCCGATACATACATATATATGTATAGATGTACAGATGTATATCTTTATATATAAGCATATATATATACATGCTTATACATATATATATATATATAGACATTGCCCCGGCAACCGGGGTTCCCAGTTCGTGCCGGCGCCGAAGACGCTATTTGAAGACGCTATTCCCTGTGACATCGTGTCCCTGTGAAGACGCTATTCCTTGTGAAGACGCTATTTCTGGTGAAGACGGGGAAGACGCTATTCCGGGTGAAGACGCTATTCCGTGTGAAGACGCTATTCCAGGTGAAGACGGTGAAGACGCTATTCCGGGTGAAGACGCTATTCCCGGTGAAGACGCTATCCCGGGTGAAGAGGCTTTTCTGCGGACGCAGACAGCACTTCCCCTATGAAGACGCTATTCCCTTTGAAAACGCTATTCTTGGTGAAGCCGCCATTCGCTGTGAAGACGCTATTCAGGATGAAGACTCTCTTCCTGGTGAAGACGCTATCCCCTGTGAAGACGCTATTCCAGATGAAGAGGTTATTCCCGGTGAAGACGCGATTCCCGGTAAAACCGCTATTCCCCGTGAAGACGCAATTTTTTGAGAAGGCGATTCTGGGTGAAGACGCCATTCCATGTGAAGGCTCTTTTCCTTGTGAAGACGCTAGACATCCGTGTGAAGACGCTATACCGTGTGAAGACGCTATTCCCGGTGGAGACGCTATTCTTTGTGAAGACGCTATTCCCGGTGATGACGCTGTTCTTGCTGAAGACGTTCTTCTGGGTGAAGACGCTCTTCCCGGTGAAGACGCTATCCCCTGAGAAGACGCTATTCCCGGTGAAGGCGCTGTTTTTTGTGAAGACGCTATTCCCGGTGAAGACGCTATCCCGGGTGAAGACGCTATTCTTGGTGAAGACGCTATTCCCGGTGAAGACGCTATTCTTGGTGAAGACTCTGTTCAGGGTGAAGACGCTATTCTTGGTGAAAACGCTATTCCCGGTGAAGACGCTATTCCGGGTGAAGACGCTATTCCCCGTGAAGACGCTATTCCCAGTGAAGACGCTATTCCCAGTGAAGACGCTATCCCGGTGAAGACGCTATTCCCGGTGAAGACGCTATTCCTTGTGAAGATGCTATTCGCTGTGAAGGCGCTACTCCTTGTGAAAATGCTCCTTCTCTTCACCATGCCCAGTATTCAACGTGCTCCCCTTTCAACTGTAACTTGAAAGTGACCTTTTACTCCACGCTTTCCGTGCCTAACACAACGCGTGCCCCATCTGCTGTGCGACACCCTCTGCTAGGCAAGACCCTTCCCCATGTTGATGAAGAAAGAATCGCCGGACATGCCCCATCTGCTGTGCAACACCCTCTTCTGGGCAAGACCCCTACCGGAGAACCCCTCCCCAAGTTGATTAAAAGAGAATCCTTGGTGCGTGACGTGCCCCATCTGCTGTGCGGCACCCTCTGCTAGGCAGGACCCCTCCCCAAGTTACTAAAACAAGCCCTTGATGTTAGACGTGCCCCATGTGCTGCGCGGCGCCCTCTGCTAGGCAAGACCCCTCCCCAAGTTGATAAAAAAAGAATCATTGGTGCTAGACGTGCCCCTTTGCTGTGCGGCACCCTCTGCTAGGCAAGACCCACCCCCTAGTTGATTAAACATGAATCCTTGGTGCTAGACGTGCCCCATCTGCTGTGTGGCGCCTTCTGCTAGGCAATGGCCCTCCCCCAAGTTGATAAAAAATGAATCCCTGGTGCTAGACGTGCCCCATCTGCTGCGCGGCACCCTTTGCTAGGCAAGACCCCTCCCCAGACGTGCCCCATCTGCTGTGTGGCACCCTTTGTTGGGCAATGGCCCTCCCCAAAGTGGTTAAACAAAATCCTTCGTGGTTGACGTGCCCCAGAATGCTGAACGGCACCTTCTGCTAGGCAAAACCCCTCCCCAGCTTGATTTAGAAAGAATCCGTGGTGCTAGACGTGCCCCATCTGCTGTGTGGCACCTTTTGTTCGGCAACGGCCCTCCCCAAGATTATTTAAAGAGTAATCCTTTGTGCTAGATGTGCCCCATTTGTTGTGCGGCACCTTCTGCTAGGCAAGACCCTTCCCCAAGTTGATGAAAAAAGAATCCTTGGTGCCAGATGTGCCCCTTTGCTGTGCGGCACCCTCTCCAAGGTGAGCCCCTTTGCTGCGCGTCACCTTCTGCTAGGCAAGACCCTTCCCCAAGTTAATTAAAACAGGATCCCTGGTGCTAGACATGCCCTTTTGCTGTGCGGCACCTTTGCAAGACCCCTCGCCAAGTTGATTAGAAAAGAATCCCTGGTGCTGGACATGCCCCTTTGCTGTGCGGCACCCTCTGATAGGCAAGAGCCCTTCCCAAGTTTATTTGAAAAGAAGTATTGGTGCTAGGCGTGCCCCATCTGTTGTGCAGCACCTTCTGCTAAGCAAGACCCCTCCCCAAGTTGATTTAAAAAGAATCCTTGGTGCTAGATGTGCCCCTTTGCTGTGCGGCACCCTCTCCAAGGTGAGCCCCTTTGCTGCGCGGCACCTTCTGCTAGGCAAGACCCTTCCCCAAGTTAATTAAAACATAATCCCTGGTGTTAGGCATGCCTTTTGCTGTGCGGCAACTTATGCTAGGCAAGACCCCTCGCCAAGTTGATTTAAAAGAATCTTTGGTGCTAGGCATGCCCCTTTGCTGTGCGGCACCCTCTGATAGGCAAGAACCTTCCCCAAGTTCATTAAAAAGAATCATGAGAGCAAAAAAGAAAGCCCGGTGAGCCCCTGGAGCCTCCTGGGGCCTCCTGGAGCTCACCGGGGCTTCCTGGGGCCTCCTGGTGCTTTCTGAGGTTGTCTTTGCCCCTCCGGGTGCCTCCTGGAGCTGTCTTGGCTGTTTCTTGGGGCGCGAATCCTTTGTGTCAAACGTATGTGCCAGTAGATTGGCCTTCTCTTGGGGCGCGAGTCCATTGTGTTTCGCGCATGTGCCACCAGATTGGCCTACTCTTGGGGCACGAATGTTTAGTGTTTACGCGCGTGCTTATATATTGGCCGTATCATGGAACGCGAATCCTTAGCGTGTTACGTGATGCCTCGAGATTTGCCTTCTTCTGGGGCGCGAACCCTTTGTGTCTTACACATGTGCGTATAGGGTGGCCCTCTCCTGGGGCACGAGTCCTTTGCGTTTCGCGCGTATGCCTTTAGATTGGCCCTTTCCAGGGGCGCGAAGCTTTAGTGTTTTACGCATTTGTTTATAGATTTGCCTTCCCCTGGGGCACGAGCCCTGCGTGTTTTACTTATGCGCCTATGGATTTGCCCTCTCCTGGGGCACGCACCCTTCGTGCTTTACGCATGTGTATATAGATTCGCCCTCTCCTGGAACACGGATCCTTCGTGTCTTACGTGTGTGCATAGATTGGCCTTCCCCTAGGGCACGAATCCTTTTGTGTCTATCGTATGTGCCAATAGATCGGCCTTCTCTTGGAACACGAATCCTCTCAGTGTTTTACATATGTGCCTATAGATTGACCCTCTCCTAGGGCGCGAATCTTTCGTGCTTCACGTGCGTGCTCATTGAGTGGTCGTATTATGGGGGACGGATCCTTAGCGTGATTGGCCCTCTCCTGGGGCACGATCCCTTTCCAGGGGCACGAATCTTTCGCATTTTACGTAATTGCTTATAGATTTGCCCTCCCCTGGGGCACGAACCCTGCGAAGCGTCACGAGCTTCACCGGGCGTCAGTGGAATAGAGGCTTCAGGCCGAATAGAGGCTTCACGAGCTTCACCGGGCGTCGGGGGAATAGAGGCTTCAGGCCGAATAAAGGCTTCACGAGCTTCACCGGGCGCCGGGGGAATAGAGGCTTCAGGCCGAATAGAGGCTTCCCGAGCTTCCACGGGCGTCAAGGGAATAGAGGCTTCAGGCCGAATAGAGGCGTCACGAGCTTCACCGGGTGCCGGGGGAATAGAGGCTTCAGGCCGAATAGAGGCTTCACGAGCTTCACTGGGCGCCAGGGGAACAGAGGTTTCGGACCGAATAGAGGCGTCACGCGCTTCACCGGGCGCCAGGGGAATAGAGGCTTCAGACCGACGAATAGAGGCTTCACGAGCTTCCACGGGGCGTCAAGGGAATAGAGGCTTCAGGCCGAATAGAGGCGTCACGAGCTTCCACGGGCGTCTGGGGAATATAGGCTTCAGGCCGAATAGAGGCGTCACGAGCTTCACCGGGTGCCGGGGGAATAGAGGCGGCCGAATAGGGGCTTCACGAGCTTCACCGGGCGCCAGGGGAATAGAGGCTTCAAGCCGAATAGATGACTCACAAGCTTCACCGGGCGCCAGGGGAATAGAGGCTTCAAGCCGAATAGAGGCTTCACGAGTTTCCACGGGCGTCAAGGGAATAGAGGTTTCAGGCCGAATAGATGCTTCACGAGCTGCACCAGGCGCCAGGGGAATAGAGGCTTCAAGCCGAATAGATGCTTCACGAGCTTCAACGGGCGTCAAGGGAATAGAGGCTTCAGGCCGAATAGAGGCGTCACGAGCTTCACCGGGCGCCGGGGGAATAGAGGCTTCAGGCCGAATAGAGGCTTCACGAGCTTCACTGGGCGCCGGGGGAATAGAGGCTTCAGGCTGGATAGAGGCTTCACGAGCTTCAGTGGGCGTCAGGGGAATAGAGGCTTCAGACCGAATAGAGGGTTCACGAGCTTCACTGGGCGTCAGGGGAATAGAGGCTTCAGGCCGAATAGAGGTTTCACGAGCGTCACCGGGCGCCTGGGGAATATAGGCTTCAGGCCGAATAGAGGTTTCACAAGCTTCCACGGGCGTCAAGGGAATAGAGGCTTCAGGCCGAATAGAGGCGTCACGAGCTTTACCGGGCGCCAGGGGAGTAGAGGCTACAGGCCGAATAGAGGCGTCACGAGCTTCACCGGGCGCCAGGGGAATAGAGGCTTTAGGCCGAATATTGGTTTCACGAGCTTCACTGGGCGTTAGGGGAATGGAGGCTTCAGACCGAATAGAGGCTTCACGAGCTTCAGTTGGCGTCAGGGGAATAGAGGATTCAGGCCGAATGGGCGCTTTTAGGGTCGCTACCCCACCAGTGCGTCGCAACTCGTAGGCCGAATAGAGGCGTCACGAGCCGAATAGAGGATTCAAGGGAACAGAGGCTTCAGGCCGAATAGAGGCTTCACGAGCCTCACCAGGCGTCAGCGGAATAGAGGCATCACCGCAGCTCCTTGGGGGAATAGCGTCTTCAAATAGCGTTTTCGTCGCCGGCTCGAACTGGGACCCCCCCGGGTCAGGCCCCTCCCTTGTATATGTATATATATATATACATATATCCATATGCGAATATATATATATATATATATATATATATATATATAGATATATACATATATATATATATATATATATATGCGAATATGGGTGGGGGTCCCGGGGCCCCCAAATTGCACAGATTTGTCTTCCGGCCGCTTCGGGCCTGTCGGGGGCGCCAGAACGCGTCAAAGGAAGGGAACGGGGGCGACGAGAGGGCCCGAGAGACGTCCAAGAGGGCGCCAAGATGGCCTCCGTGGCCATTTTGGCTCAAGCCATTTGGGCCCAAGCCATTTTCGCTCAGTCAGGTGTGATTTAGCATCTTTCCGCTTGGAACCGTCCCACGTGTAGCATATGATTTCTTTGACAACTCGCTCTCGTCATGCTACGTCAATGGACGCACCGCTGTCTTGCCGTGGTGCAGGTAGCAGCAGTATGTGGACTGCGCCTGGATGCAGGAATTCCATGTCGCAGCGCGGCGTCGCCCTTCCAGGCTTGGGCGCTGTCCCCTCCGATTGAAGGCGAGCCCCTCTTCTTGGGCAGATTTGAGCCGCCAGCTAAGTACGCAGATCGGCCGGGCGAGCGCTCGCCCAACCACATCAAAGTCGGATGTGACGCAACAGAACCTCACGGTCACATGTGCCAGGTCTTTGCCGGCACCTTCACGCGCGCGGTCTTTCCGAGCAGTGATACTGAGATCATACCAGGACCTTCGAAGAGAAGCCACGAGGCCGATATAGCTTTTTCCAAACGTAACGGACACAGCCGACGGTCTTTGCATGCCTGCGCGTCGCAGGGATGAGATCCGGAGCCCTTCCAATCACTCCCCCGGTTGGTCCTCTGATGGGGTAGATTGGCCTCCGAACGGGACCGTTTCTTTGCACAAGGCAAAGCGGCCCTTCTGTGTTTGCCGAGAGTGCGAGCCAGCACGCGAGAGCTCCGTGGCTGAAAGGTGCGATGTGTTCATAACTCACTTTAGCAACTTGCGGTTCGAGTCGAGTGAGTTTCAGTGCCCCGTCGTTCACATGCCAGAATCCTTCCGTGATTTCGGCTTGCGTTGGTTGAGTTCGCCTCAGGACCTCACGTTTGACCGTGACGAGGACGATGCTGCGTTGCAGCCGCTCTCAACAGTTTGCCAAACGAGCCGGTTGAATAAAAGCAGGTTCATGGCATTCATGCACGGGGCATGTTGGAAAGACCATTACCCAACAGCTGATTTCTGGCTGCGCGTTGCGTTGTTTGATGAGGTCGCTGAAGGTTACGCAAAAGCACCAGAAGCTCTGGGTTACTGTAGGGGTCGTAAAGATCAGCCTGTGGAAGCTCAAAACATTGTGACGCAAAAGCTGACTGAATATGGCGTGTCGCATCAATTCGCAGCTACTTCGCTGACGAGGCCGTACTGGCATGGGAGCCATTCAAGTTTGCAGTAGTGTTCCAAAACACACATGAGCCTGGTGCCGTGCAAAAAAAGATCGTGCACGCGTGGTTGGCAAGAGCGGTGCCTGTTTATTTTGGACCCTCTGATGTTTTGACGGACTACAATCCCGATAGCTTCATAGATTGTGGGTTTGACCATTTGGATTCGAAGCTGGACCAGATCTGGGCTCTGCAACAAAAAATGGAGGACAAGCTTGCGGTCCCAGGGATTCCAGGTGACCGCCAGTACGAGGAGGAGTCCTCAGAGTTCAAGCAGATTGTGAAGTTCACGAGGGAACTATTTTTCAGCGATTTCCAGCAGTGCCTGAAGAAAATCAGAGCAGTCGACCAGGACGAAAAGGCCTGGGCGCGCATGGTCCATACGCCAGTCTTTAATAAGGGCAAGTCGATAAAAGACTCCGTCTTTGACGTGGAAGTTTATGCACAGCGCTTTCGCGAAGTCCTTCTATCTGCCAGTAGTTCGGTCATCCCTTCTGACTCGGAGTGAGTGAAGCGCACCCGTCCTCTCTGCTGTAGGGGCGCACGTGTGTCATGACAGGCTGATCGGACGCAGGCACAACACGCTGGATGCTCTCTCTTCGTACGTTCTGTTGTCGGCGCACTCATCTGTCATCGCGCTAAGCGCGATGCAAGTCGATTTTTTAGCCAGTGCCTTCATATATGGCGTCTCATGTGGCTGTTCGTGCCAGAGCATGTTTCCAGCCACACAGGCGGTTGTTCGTTCAAAAAAACGGGCGCCAAGATGGCCCACGAGCGCCCCAAGAGATCCCAAGACCGCACACGAGTGTTTCAAAATTGGTCCAACATGGCTTGAAGACAGCCCAAGAGGGCTTCAAGACTGCCAAGATGCCCTCAAAAGGACTCCCACGAGGAATTCAGGAGGCGACGCAAGTAGTTGTTTTCAATTGTTTTTGCAGGTTTGTCGTGTTCTCGCTGTTTCCTGCTTCCGACGGTCCAAGACAGCCCAAGAGGCCTCAGAAATTAGCTTTAGACGGCCCAGGAGGCACCCAAAGAGGGCGCCACGACGGCGCAAGAGAGCCTCAAGGCGGCCCAAGAGCGACCCAAGATGGCCCAAGAGGCGCCCAAGGCACCTGGGAGGCCCCAAGAGGCTCCCAACAGAGCCACCCAAAACGGCCCCCAAGAGGCCTCCAAAATTGCCTTCAAGAGGCCCCCGGAAAGCCTCCAACGAAGTCCAAACGAATTTCCAAGAGGCCTCTAACCCACAACCCAGGCACGGTGGCGGGATGGGCCGAAAACCACTCGACGGTCCAAGACGGCCTCCAGACGGCCAAAAAGGCACCCAAGATACACACGAGGCCTCCCGAGGCTGCAGAGGCTGACGCTTCGGGACAACAGGATCGGAAAACGAACGAGGATCGAGCTGAAAGGATCTGGCCTGAGTCGACTGCCCGTCAGGTGGGGATTCCAGTGGCAATTTGACTCGGACTGACGCGCACAGACTCTACATGTACAGCGAGAGAGGGGGGGAGGGGGGTGGAGAGGGAGAGACAGTGAGAGCCTGGCATGGATGAGAGAGAGAGAGAGAGAGAAAGAGACTGTGGCGGAGTAGGGAGAGAGAGGAGAGAGTGTATTCGCGGCCCATTCGTTGCAAGCTTGCACAAACCAGATGTTTCGAGGCTTCTAAGACTCCGGTGGATGGCTCTCGCAAGTGCCCACCATTCAGGAATTGTCCGTTGTGCGGGACTCCTGCGACTCCTGTGCACGGCTCGCGTCAATTCACACAACTCTCGGTGGCTGTCCGTTGCACAGGATCTCTGAGACTTGTTTGCAAGGCCCGCGCCAATTCGCACCAGTCTTTGGTGTTGTCTGTCTGACAAGGCTTTTATGCAGCGCCAATCTTGCCAATTCGCGACCACGGCCAGAATAAGATAGGATGCGCCAAAGAGCGATGTCCAGGTTGTGAGAAAAAAAAGATACACACGAGGCCTCAAAGAGGTTTCCCCAGAGAGCTCGAAGAGGCCAAAAAACAAGGTTTGCCCTCAGGCGTTTGATGAATTGTGGCGTTTCCGCCTGTACCGCTTCCCGACGCTGAAAGACGCCCCAAGAGGCCCCGAGGATCGCCCGAAGACGGCCCAGTAGGCTTCAAAAACGCCCCGAGGCGGCCCCAAGACGGCATCAAATTGGCCGAAGAGACGCCGGGAACGTGAGCCGAGAACCCGAGATCTTCGCCCCAGGAGACCCCAAAAGGTCCCCAAGAAGCCCCAAAGAGCCCCCAAACAGGCCCCGAGGATATTGAAACAAGAATCCACCTTTTTGCTGTCTGTCAAGTTCGCCTACTTGCGGACAAAAAGACACATCCCATGTCGTCCTCCTCCTCCTCCTCTTCCTCCTCCTGTTCCTCCTCCTCCTCCTCTGCGGCCTCCTCCTCCTCCTCCTCCTCCTCCCCTCGGGGAACCCCTTCACCTTTCCTGCTCCTTCCTCTCCCTCCGGCTACGCCCAGCCGCGGCGAAGAGAAGGGCCCCCGAAGTACTTGTTCAGCCTCCCTTAGGCCGCCGTGGGTGGACAGCAGTATGAAGTCTTGGAAGCCACTTGGGTCGTCTTCGTGGTTCTTGGAAGCCCGGGAGAAGAAGTTTCAGAACATAGAGGTCCCCGAGATTTTGACCATCCAACCTCGCTAGAACTTGAGCGCGCGCGCGATGGTTCTAGTATGTATATCTATGTCTTATAACATGGGTTGTACGCGCCTTCCTTTGTCAAGAACTAGAACTTGTCCTTCTCCCTTCGTCTCCAGGGGGCGAGCGGAGGTCGGATCTGCTTCCAACGCCCTCCTACTTCGTGCCTCTGCCCGCCCCTCCCAGCCGACTGGAACAGATGCCATGCGTGCTCGACGTGAGGAATGCCGCTTGCCCCTGCGTCTTGCCCAGCCCTCGGGACCGGCGTCTCGTCGCCACGGGTGATCGCGGCTCGCAGGAGGGCTTGCCAGGATGGTGCGCGCAACGAGGTCCGGATGCACTCCCGGGAGGTCAAGTTCGGCATCGGCGCTGGTACGCCCGTGGTCGACGTCAGGCCACATCCGGCATCGTCCCGTTTGAGCTGGCCTCGTCGCGCTCAATGTTAGGCTCTGTCTGGGCTGATGCGGCTCAATGGCTTGCTCGCCTCCCCTGATCGTTCTCACGAAGACCTCCCGGCGCCGCGCGCGCGCTCTCGCGCCGAGGCCCCCGCCGCTCTCTCGCTTGGCTCCGGCCGCCGCCGCTGCTGCTCGAGGCTCGAGGTCGCTCGTTCGGCGTCGCCCGATCCCTCTCCTCCTCCTCCTTCTCCTGCTTCCCCTCCTCCCTCCTCCCTCCTCCCTCCCCCTCCTCCTCCCTGACCTGCGTCCGACGGGGCCGACGGAGCCCCGGGGGGCGGGCTGCGAGCCGACCGGCTGCAAGGGGCATCGTGGTCTGCTCCGCCGAGCCTCGGAGGAGGTGCCTGCGCGGGCGCGGGGGGCGCGCGAGCAGCGGGCGTCGTGAGAAGCAGGGGGGCGCAGGTTCTGGCATCGCTCGGACGTGTGCATTTTTTTTTCTCGGCGAGAGCCATCGAGGACCATCCTGGACCATCGAGCAAAACAACAAATAAAAACGCACGAAACCCAGCAATGCGCGGGAAGTGGACGTCCGAGCGACGGCAAGAGAAGGGAGGGGGCTCCCCACGCGGAGGGGCCTGCCAGAGCGTAGGCCCGGGCTTCTCGGGCGGCCGCTTCGCTCAAACCGTCGTGGCGGGGCCAGGGGGCACAGGGCTACGCATCCGCATTCGCTTGTCTCGGGTGCGGGAAAGAGGGGGGTGATGACTAGAGGGGGGTGGATAGCATGGCGGGGGCCATGATATCTCCCCAGATTTCGTGGCGCCTCTCCTTCTTTCGTTACGCCCCTGGCCCCCCCGCTGGGCCGCGCACACGCCGCCGGCCATGATTTGCATCACCCCCTTTTGGGCACCCCCCTCTTGGCCGCTCCCGATTGTCCCAGGTCCTGAGCCTGATGCAAGGCGTGAGGTCCTCACTCTTGGGGGGGGCGCTCGCCGCATTCGAAGGGGGACTGCGCGTGAGTGTGTGTGCGCTCTGGTGTATTTGTGGCACGGCGACTTGTGGCGCCAGGCTGTATCGAATGGCCTTCGGCCCATGCCGCCACCGAGCCTGGGTTGTGGGTACGAAGCCTATTGGATGTTCGTTAGGATCTCGTGGGAGGCCTCTCGGGGGCCTCTTGAAGGCAGTCTTGAGGCTTCTTCGAGTCCGTCAGGGGCCTCTTGGGGGCCGTCTTGGGGCCTCTTGGGTGTCTCTTGGGGGCCTCTCGGGCGCCTCTTGGGCCTCTTTGGGCCTCCTGGGGGCATCTTTGGGCGGAAGGCTCGGATTTTTGATTCGTGCTCCCTCTCTCTCTTGGGCCCTTTTGGGGGCCGTCTTGGAGCCCCCTTGGGCGCCTCTTGAGCCGTCTTGGGGCGCTCTTAGGCAGTGTTGGGGCCTTCTTGGAGGCCTCTTGGGCCGTGTTGAGGTGGTCTTGTGGCCTCTAGGGCCGTCTTAGGGCGTCGGAAAGCCGAGAAGGCGAGAACGTCCGAATCCTTCAAAATCTAAGGACAATGAACGAGTTTTGCCTCTTGGGGTCCACTTGGGAGGCCTCTTGGAGGCCTATTGGTGCATCTTGGAGGCCGGTTGGGCCATCTTGAGGCCATCATGGGCGTCTTGGAACGATCGTTCGGCGACTCGGGGCCCTCTTGGACCGGCTTGGAGGTTTGTGACCAGGCGACTTGTGGCGCTGAATGCTGTGTTTTTGATGCGCGTCGCTCTCGCACTGGTCCTCCTCTGCCTCCTTCCCCCCTGATCCCCTGGAGTCGATGGTCCCTCCTGCCGTCCGAGCCCCCCAAAGTTGCAGAAGGCCAGACGCTCTATCCGCACACCTGCTTCGCGTGCTGTGGCGCCTCAGGTTCTCCGACCTCAGGGCAGCCGTGCTCGTCGTCGGCGGAGGCACCGCAGGCCGCGTCGCCATCAAGGACTTCAGCCTTTCTCTTTGCCGCCATACACTGAACTGTCACACGCCCTGCGCCTTCCCGCCTCGTCCTCCCCTTCTCAGCCTCATCCTAGTCCTTCTCCGCCTCATCCTCCTCGTCCTCGACCTCGTCCTCCTCCGCCCCCCCCCCCCTCCCCCCCTCGTCCTCCTTCGCCTGGTCCTTCCTTTCTCGGTGGGGCCCGCCGTTTCCGCCTTCGTTCGTGTTTCCTCCCCCCCCACCTCGTCTCCTTCCCCTCCTCCGCTCGCTTCTCGTTCCCCGTCTCTCTCTTCCCATCCTTTTTTCTGTTTGTCCCTTCCGCCTCGCCACTTCAGGCTCTTCCCCACCCCTTGTCCAGTCCCCCATCCCCCTCATCCCCCGTTCATGGGTGTCCCCCTCGCTTCCGACACCCTCTTCCCCCCCCCTCCACTCACCCACCCCCCGTCCTCCGATCCCCCATCCCCCGTCCTGCCCTCTCCTTCACCATCGTCCCCTCCTCTCTTCCCCCCCAACCTC